AAAAATAGGTATTAAATCATTCACTTTACATCGACGACAGTAATAAAAATTTCGAAACTGGATATTTCTTTTAATCTTTCTTAACTAGCTGCAATTCATGCTATACTGCAATATGGGTATTTACCTAATCGTAAGAATATTTTCCTAAATACGCAATGAAAGTCTTCTCTAAATTCTGCTTAAAACTCAAATCAAATTGCCTCAGGTAATGTAAACCTCGACATCATTGTGTTCAAATCGCGTGCCCGGCGAACTATCATTATTTAAACAAAATGTCCTTGGACGTCAATCATGGAAGTTTGGCATTCACCTTTGACAAGGCTGACCAAATCAAAACGTGTTTGCATGATTCATAAAAGAAATTAGCAGACATGCTCTTTACAAATCATAATTTTAACACCTTTCGCTTAATGCATCCATCCTAAGTTGAGTAAACAATGGTTTGAAAGAGAGTTGTGATTTTTAATGTGAGTATATACTTTCTAAATAATGTCGAAAGGAAAGCGCAATATTCTAAAGTAAATTTAATTATGTAAACGTCATATTAAACCGGTTATGCGTTTGTATTATAGAAATATGTTTCATCACTTCAAAAAGACGAAAGGGATTGATTAAGTTTTATTTTTAATGTCGTGGAATTTCTTCTCTCTTTTTGCGTTTTCATGGTGTAGTTGATGATAAGCATTTTTTTTTCTTTTGGAATTTTTTTATTTATATTTTGACATAGATGTATTTACATTTCGAAACAAATATGTTTCTAACATTTCTTGAAATATTATTAACAATATAAACAATTTATATCATTCTTAACTTATCTTTAAAGTATATTAATGTCAATTACTAATGTAATGCAAAGCATGATAATGTATTTTCTTCTACATTAATGTGAAATACAAGGTGTTCTGCATTGAAATCCCTAAATATAAGTATACTTTTAAAAGCATTGTCAAAATTTAAGACATAAAAGTGTATATTGGGAGTAACAAACTAATATTTAAGCGAGAGAAAAACGCTGTCAAAATCTGACAAATCACTATTGAGAAAGGCTGGATAAGAACACCAAAACTTATTGAATTGCTGGAAGGAACTTGAATTTGTCGTAATTTGACCAAAAACACTATTGAGAAAGAAAGTATGCAAAACATCAGAACTTAAACTTCTGTTTCGAATATTTGTCTTCCAACTCTTCTCCGTTTCTTCCGGTAATCAAACATACTTAGAGGCATTGATGGTTGTACACTCACTTTCCTCAATAGTGATTCTTTAGATTTCGATAGCAAATCTCGGCATCATTTCTAGTTTTGTTCCAGCTTAAATATCAGTATGAGATTTGAGAAGGTTTTAATAAACATAATTAAGGGTGGTTATAATGGAACACCACCATTCTATTTTTATTATCATCTAATTTGATGTCAGAGGTGAAGCAAAGCTTTTTAATAATACGAAATGATGAATTATAAGGCAAACAAGAGGAAAAATATAAGAAATTTAGCAAATATTTCAAAATAGAATATAAATAGAATAATATAAAAATATCTATATTATTTGCATTTAATGTAAATAATAAAAACAGAATAATGTAGATTAATGTATAACAATATAATAACAATTGAATAAATAACATAATAACAATATATTATTCTATTGATATTCTGTTCTACTCTATTGATTTATTGATTTGGTTGATTCTATTGATGTTCAATAAGTAGAATAACATAATAATAATAAACTAAATTAAAGATTTGTTTTAACATTAAAATCTTCCAATTTAACCAGTGCAAAGCTATTCCAATAACCTGAGTTGCAATAAAAGAAAAAAAAATAGATTGTGAGATAAAAATTCCTTATGATGAACAAGAAAATACTTTACTTATTTTTAGCTTCTCCATATAATTATATATTCTATTAATANGAGATAAAAATTCCTTATGATAAACAAGAAAATACTTTTAGCTTCTCTATATAATTATATATTCTATTATTAAAATTTGATTTTTCTAGTTTTGGTTCAATTGATTTGTAATAAATTTTTAAATTTTATATAAAAGCTAAAAGCGTGAAGATATTATATGTTATACATTCCACAAAAATGTTTAAACATTTGTTAACATCAAAATTACTTTATGAAATAACAGACGATTTAAATCCAAGACAAGAGCATTCATCTAAAAATGTGTTCGACAGCCAAATGACAATGCTTTTAAATTTGGGTATCGAAAGTGGTTAGAATTTGCAAATTTTTTACAAAATACAAATCTACTAACACCTTCCAAATAAAAAAAGTTGAAAAATATTTAAAGTAATTTTATATCAAAATTCATAAATTTAATTGATTATAACTTACAAGTACATAGATTTGAAAAGCTGGTTCAAGTTAAAAATGCTCTCATATACTTCAGGAACTTTGAATCAAAATTAAAGTGCTTATTTTAAAATATGTAACAGAATTAGGTACTAAATTAATTTTATTCAAAACAAAAGTTTAAAACTAAAATTTAATAAATGAGAGAAGGATTCACCGCTCACAATAGTGTTCGCTGGAAAAAAAAGAGCTTTCTTTTCAAATTATACAGTATTTGAAAAAGCTTTTACCATATATCTGACACTAAAATATTAGCACATTTAAACATGTTTCGAACTTTTCTTGTATTCCATTTCTTTTGACTTAAAATAAAACATATAAAACAGTAAGTTGCAATTTATTTGTAGAAATTTATGTAAAATTTTCAAAATGTAAAAGAAATTTCAGTTCTTTAATAGAAGAGATCTTGAGTTTTATTGATGGATTTTTGCATTAAAGAAAACAGTGTTAGGTGAAACTAATTTTGACAAACATAAAACTAATTTATCTCGTATTATATTTCTTTTGACTAAAATAAAACATATAAAGACAGTAAGTTACAAATTATTTGTTTAAAATTGTGCACAAATTTTATACAATGTAAAAGAAATTACGGCATTTTTTAATAGAAAAGATATAGAGTTAAGAGGGTTTTAATATTAAGGAGAGCAACGATTGGTAAAATTAATTTGGATTGATCGAAAAGTACAAAGAATATTACAAAATTTTCAATGATTGCTCATGAGTGATAATAAGTGACTAATTAATGGCAATCTTATCTTTTGATACTTTGATCTTTCTTTTTCGATTCTAAATTTAATTACTTATCATAAGCACTTGCGCAATATTAGTATAAGTGGAGGAAGGAAAAACCGTTCGGTTTCCCATCTGGTGTAAAACAAGAATTTCTCTTGATATATCTATAAAATGCTTACCTCCTTTGAGTAAGCAGTTTCCTTAGTAATTCAAACGTAAGTATGCACGCCTTGTTAAAATATCTGTTGTTACTAAGCAGGTATATCAATCACGCGAAACTCCGGTCGAACGAAACCTGCTGACTAATCAACTGTAACCCTCGAAGGTTTTCTTAAAAATGATTTTATTTTTCTTTAATTCCTCTCAAGCTTATTATTTTGTCTTTTTTAATTCCAACAAAATTATAAAATTCTTAATGATTTTTTAATAAAATTAATTTTAAATATAAGAACATTCAATGACAGTTCAATGATTTTAAATATAAGAACATTCAATTTAAGAGGTGATCTTTTAATTATTAATTTGTTAAAAACATTAATTGGAACTTTTTCTTTGTGGGTTTTATATGGATTAGATTGGATTGAATATGTAAATTTTACAGATAGGATAATCAGATTTAGTAATACTGCGCTAAACATAAGTGAAATTACACACTGTAAGTAAGATGATTGCAAGATGCTATTAAAGTCTGAAACAAATAATAAAAACGAGCTAAATGGAAGAAAGATTACTTGAGTATCTTGGAATCGTGTGATCCATGTTTACTTGAAGAATGCAAACTCAATGATTTGAAAATTCGTATAGAATTATAAGAATATTTAAAATTAACAGTGATGAGAAAATTTTATGAAACTGAATTTCTTTCTACCGAGGAAATTAAATGATTTTCAGAACCAGATTGATAAACATATGGCAAAAAATAATTATTTCTTAAATTATTATACCCCTAACCTTACTTTATTAAACTTTTGAGGCAAAATTTTTATTAAACCTATTTTTTCTACTTTTTTTCAATATTTTGTATTAATTTAGGTCAAAATATATGAAAATATTAAATTAGCATTTTAATAATTTATGGTTATGAAAGACAGCAGAAAACACTGGTGTCTTTTTCCGTGTTAAACACGGCTCACTTCAAAAAACAAAATTTTTTTCAAAAAATTGCATTTATTTGCAGTTCTTTAGATCCAAAAAGAAACAGTTATTCATCAATGAAATTTCTTTAATTTACAAAATCAATTATTGATAAATCTTTCAATAAGAATGAAAAGAAAAATTTCAAACTACTTTTCTTGAATTTTATATTTTCGTACAAATATAATTCCTATAATCAAGCAGATTTTTTCCGAAACTATTAGACAGTTTTTTATAATTAAAAAATGCTTAAATATGTTTCTGTTTGTAATTAGAGCATCAGAAAAAATATATATAAAAGGGTCATCGGTATGCAATATGCATCAAAGGGTTAAAACTCTAATTTTCAGCATATTATTAAAATTAATAGCATTTTAAACAGTCCTTTAAGTCCTTTATTAAAACAAACTTTTTTGAAACTAATAATATTTCTCGTAACTTTTCATTAAAACTAATGAATTTAATTGCTTACACTATTACCTAGTTGCTGGTAACTTTTTCCATTTTAATTGCATATTGTAAAGAAATGCATATTACATACAAATTTATAAAATATGCACTTTCTGTTTTAAAAAGTTTTATGCATTTTAACATAAACGTGTTTAATACTACAACTGAACATTCGCAGTATCATGAACAGTAAATAATCTGGACTTAAATATTGAGAAATGTACAATAACCTTTTGTTTAAGCAAGTAATTATAACTCAATAATATTTTTTTTAATTTATATACATATATTTCTTATAATTAAGTTCCCTATTTTTCAGAAAATTCTCCAAAATGGCAATTTTGTGTGCTAAAGTCTTAAAAAATGTTTTATTATTACTGATTGTGAATGTGATCATCAGTTCAGCCTCATCGTTATGTACTCCATCTGAAATGGCTCATGAAAATCTCAGAAAATTAGCGCACGCAAATAATGATTTTGGGCTTAAACTTTACCAAAGACTCGCTGACGAATCTTCGAAAAATGTGTTTTTCTCACCATTAAGTTTGTCTGCAGCTTTTGGAATGCTTTTCTATGGAGCCCGTGGTTACACAGCTAATGTAAGTATTTTTTTCACTTTTAATGAAATACCTTATATAAGTCACTATTTTACTAAACTCCATAGTTCCTTTTTTACAGAATAAAAAAAGAAACAATAATCAATACTCTTTTACGGAAAGTTAAAAAAAACATATCTTTTACATAACATGTTTTTGTATGCACATTTTTTCTGAATAACTTCTTGAAATTAGCATATTTTCAATTTTTAGTTAACTTTTAAATATTATTCTTTAAGAAATAGAGAGAATATAAAGTCACGTACTTCAAAGTTTAATAATCCTTATTTAGCAATAGAATTTAACCAAAAGTAAAGTATCACAAAAAGTAGTTGATATTTTTAGTTAATAAATTTATGATGTTACAATAAATTCTCGAAATATCATCAACTTTCCCGAATTCCAGAGCGTGTAACAATATTGCGCCCCTTAGTGGTTCGATTATGAAGACATGGCTCCCAAAAGAACAATCAAACATCACCTACAGCGGTTAGTGAGAGTGTGGACGACCACTTTAATGAGCCTGCGAAGAGACATAGGGGGTGCAGAATTAGTCCTCGCTAAACTCTTCAATCATAAAGTGGTCGACTTCGTACGCAAGTCGTTGGGCTACCAAAGTGGGGTAACCATCCCTCTGTAAAAAATCAAAATTGCAATGATCTTTGGAACATCTACGGAGATGTTTCCCAGGCCATAGCTCATTGTGCAGTTCTAGTGCAAAGTAAATATAGTACTATTACTACTTTAACATTGTTGCCATTTTTTTATCCTTTTTGTCGGCGAACGCAGAAACTTAGTTTCGAACTATGTTTTCTTAGTTAGATTTTTTATTACCGTCTAAATTGGAAGTGAAGTGTGCTTGTGCACGCCCTATCTTCGTCAGCTAACTGATCCAATTGCTCTGAAACGTTGAACTAATCATTTCCTTGCTGAGTTATTGGGTGTTCAGCATCAAAATGTTTCGACACTGTAAAAAGTTTTAGTGAATAGTTGCTACAATTTTTGGTGTTAAGGTCGGCTAAAATTTACATTTTTTATTTACTTTTTTACTGTTATAGTTCAATTTATTTTCATTTTTCGTTTGTTTGTTTATTTACAGCACATATTTTCATGCGCAATAGAATCAATTTAATGACTTCATTGCAAAAACGTTTCATTTGAAGCAAGTACATTTTAAGTAATATATTTTTCGCACTAATTCTTTCAAACAATTGTCATTCTGTCAGTTTTATATAATATTTGGCATGATAACTACAGTTCGGTACTTATATATGTATTTAGTTTACCAGAAAACCCACCAAAGAGAGTGCCAACTACACACCAAAATTTTTAACAGTGTAGATGACTTTAAATGACGCAGTTTAAATGACGTTAGAACACGAGTTTTGAGCAAAAATGACATGCCAACTTGAATATTCATTGTTTCTGGTAAAGCAACTTATCGCTGAGTTGAACAACAATAGTTTCACGAATGAAATCTAATCATGGAATCATTTATAGCTCTTAATATATATTTTAAAAAATCTGACTAGTCGTCAACCTTAGGAAATTGAAATTCAATGCTTCTCCATGAAATTATAGACAAGTTAACCTTGTCTTACGTGACTTTAAATTTATCCCGTAGAAAGCGCAATAGTGTTTAAGAAAATTAAAATGTGCTATGCAAAAAAAAATTTAATAAAAAATATCATCTGATAACTTTTTATCTAGTGTCTTTAAATTTATGTACTAAGATACAATCGAAATTATTAGAGATTCTAATCTAAAATATGCTACATTTGAATTGTGGAGATAATATTTTAAGTTACAAAAACAGAAAGGAAGACGTAATTTTTACGAATAAATGTACATTCTATTTCCAACATATTTAATAGAACCTCAAAATAAGAAATTTGGGTAGCAGTAATCCGAAAAATATAGCTCCAGTAGTTTAGTTTGAAGATTAGTAGAAAATTTAAGCCCTTTAATGCTAATTTCTTATTTAGATGTTTTGATATGTCTATGAAATTAATTAAGAGAATCAAAACAATAAATTTCATGCAAAATATATTTCTTAGACTTTTTTTATTATTATTCATTTTATTAATTATTATAGCAGTCGAAGAAAAAAAATTTTATTAAAAAGTTTACAAATTTTTACATTATTTTAAGTCGATATAACACAAAATTGTTCCTGAGAAATGAAACCTACTTTCCTGAAATATCATTCAACAACTTTGACCGTTTTCCTGACTAAACTATTAATGATTTTTCCTGATAATGGCTACCCCTTATATTTTAAGGATCAAAAATCTGAACCAGTCAGCTAAAAAAAGACATGCTTATTCAGAAAAAGTATATTTTCGTGCCCGATTCCGCATGATCTGAATAAATTAGTTATCATATTTAAAATTAGCTCCTTAAACTATTAATATTATATTTTATTCGGTTGAAATACTATCTCGAGATCAAAAGATATTTCATTATTTAGTTTAAATTTTTGCGTACAACACATTTGAAAAAGGTTGCACAACAGCTATAAACTAATTATTTTTATCTGTTTAGACAGATTTATGGTGGTAAGACGCACTCAGATCTTGAGGTCAGTTCTCGTTAAATGTCCTAGAAATCTTCAAACTCTGTGAGGACAGAAAATTCTACAAATTTGAAGAGATGTGTTTGTTCTCAAATCTCCTCGAATTTCTCCGAAAACATATAACCTTACGTTGCAGTGAAGTGTCAGAAAAATTTAAAAATGCTCATTGTGTAAAAAAATGGTATTGTTTTACAGAGAATGAAAAGTAAAAAGAAAAAATCGAAAGAGCACCATGGTAAAAGATGAAAACGCTATACTCGTCTTAAAACAATTTCAGCAAAAAAAAATTTAATAATCATGCATAATCTTTTTTAATATTCATGCACTCATTAATTCGTTTTACATGTGTTCAAATTCAGAATATTATACGATATTACAAAACTGCTTAGTAATGAAATCAAGTTTGATGAAGATAGTTCTGCACATGATATTAGTTATCAACTAAAAAAAATCTTTTTGCGCATATAAGTAATTATTTTAAATAAATATATGGGTGTCCTCAAATCGTAAAATTTTTCGAAGATGCTCAGTTGATTTGTTCTTAAAACACGGTTTACAAATCTTGTCACCTTATGCAAATTAACTAAATAATAAATCATAAATAGATTTCGTACACTAACTACTAAGAACATACACGAACTAGTTTTTTATGTAAGTTTATGTTGCTAGACTGTTATACCTCTGTACAAAAAGTTTCCCTTTAAAAAACAAGAAAGATAGCACAAAAGATATTTCCTAATCAAAAACCAGTCGTATAAATGCACAAGTGAAAGTTATTATCAGGATGAGTAATAGTTTCTTATGATAGAAGAATCTTTTTCGATTTTTTTTTTCGCAACAGCAAGAGATAACGTTTTTTAGTCACGATATTTAGTGGTTAAAATGGTTTACTTGCTTGATGTTTCTAATTTAAATAATGTGTACACTTGTACGATTAAAATGAAGCTAAAATATGTTAACATTTGAAATGAACATAAACTACAAAAAAAATTATATGAATAAAATAATGTAACAGGAATTAAAAATTTTTTGAATCTCTTCTCTCTTTTTTATTTTTGAATATCTTACAGCATTCAATATGAAACCGTTTGATTGGTAACTGTATCTATTTTCAGCAGTCAAATCACAGCTAGTAAAATGGCAAATAATCCAAAAAGTTGACAACATACACTTAAAATAATTTTCATTTCGAAATTATAGTTGAATAGTTATAGATTTCTATTCTAACCTAGTTTAACCGCTTCCCTTATCAAATTTTTTTTTAAAGAAAAATGCAAAAGATCCACAAATTTTTTTACTTCATTACAAGGAACTAAAACAAAACTTAATACATAAATTTTATGTTGTAATTATAATTTTATTATGTTTAAAAAACGTTTAATTTACCATCAGGTTACTATCTGGAGTCATCTCGGGCAAATGAAAAAATTCAATATTAGTCTTTCTATAATAGTTTTTTAGAAGGGAGAACACAAAATGATACTTTCCAAACGTCAGTGAAGTGATACACCATCTTTTTTAACTCCTTTTTTCTGTGTAAATTCAGCAACCATCATAGACACCGAAGAGCCATTACATTATGACCACCCTGCTAATAACATGTAGGAGCACCTTTAGCCCTCAAAACTGCTAGCACCCGCCATGGCATTGATTCCATAAGGTGCTGATAGGTAGTCTGAGGTATCTGGTACCAAGCGCTCACCAACTGGTCCTGCAATTCCCTCACATTGCGAGGGGGTAGCGTGGCAGCACGAATTTGGTTTTCCAAGTAGGACCACAAATGCTCTATTGGATTAAGGTCAGGTGAATTTGGGGGCCAAGACATGACTTGAAAGTCACTGGAATGTTCCTCGAACCAATCCATGACGATTCGACCCTTATGACATGGTGCATTATCCTGTTGGTAAACACCATCCCCCGCAGGAAAAACTGTTGCCATGAATGGGTGAACCTGGTCTGCAACTATGTTCAAGTAGCTTACAGACGTCAGGGATTGTTCTATGAGGATTATGGGTCCTAATGTGCCCCATGAAAACATTGTTCCTGGGCGAGAAACCATGAAAACCTGGGCGAGCCCATTGTTATAGATGGAGGGTGGTCATAATGTAATGGCTCTTCGGTGTATATAAGCCCATAAAAACGTAGGCAGCCCCACAATCGAACAGCAAAACTCCCACACAAAACTTAGCAAACTTCCAATCACAGCAGATAATTTTTTTTTTTTTTGCTTCTGGTTAAGTAAAAATGTGACAAAACAAAACGTACTAAGAAATTCAGCTACGCCCAAGTTTTCTCTGGATAATAAATATTTTCAATATATACAATCCCGAGTTAACCCGACTATACAAACCCGAGTTAAACCATAGCAAATAAATATTTAAGCGACGAAAGAAGAAAAAGGCTCTAATGAAATAGAACGAATCACTAAAGAGGAAAGCAAGATTAAAAACGCATCGAAGCCAGTTTAATTGACGGAGAAAATTGCGAGTTGATGAAAGGAGATTTTTAGAAACACCTTGCAGTTACAATCAGCACACAATCAATCGATCAAAGTACAATCCTGTTGTGAATGGATAATAGTAATATTCTTTTATATCAATAGATGGCGGTCGATGATGTTTAATTACGTTGGAAATTATAAGATGTAAGTACGTCAGAATTGTATGGGATTTGATTGATAGTAATAGACAATTCTGTCGTATTCTTAATGTATTTGATGTTTTATTTGTAATAAATGTGTCTGTGTATAAAATCTGTTAAATGGATAGCACAACTAATTGACACAAGCCCGCAGTCCCCATAAAAGAAGTAAAAACTGCACAAATCCTAATACTCCTTTGTATTTCGAAAACTTTTTGTATTTTTCGGGTTTAATATAGGATTTAACTAGGATTCCAAAAATATTGAAATTATGTATTAAGGACGGTGTTTGTGGAGCACCTTGTCCAAAGTGTTGCGTATCGTAATTTTTGTATGCCATACAATATACAAATTTGTTTGATTTTGCAATTACGTGATTAATCTGCTGAAATCTTATACGAAACTGAAAATTCTCTATAGCTCTTACAAAAATTAGGAACCACGGGTTTATTGTAGATCTTTATTTATCGGGCAAGAAATCTACGAATGTACTCATAAATATAGTGATGTGTAATGAAATTTGATGGTCCACTTAGTCAAGCGTGTTATGTCAGTTCGGAACTTGAAGATTTCAAATAAACCTAGACATCTGATGAGCATACAAAGGTGGTCAACTAAACGGGTTTCAATGTGTAACTTAATGCTAGTATGATGATGTATTAGAATAAATTCTCTTTACAGAACAAACCAAAATGTTTTAATCAAAAAGTGAATAAATACTTAGTGGCATCTATAAAAGTATTTTTGTGAACAACATTACTTCTGCCAAAGCTTAATAGTTTCTCAAATATAATTTTGCATGTTGTTGTTGTCCATTTGTCAATACCAACAAGCCTCTTTAAGACAGAGTGGTGCGCTTCTTCTTGTGTTCCAGTGGCGCCATCTATGGCCAAGAATTCAACTTTTACATACATTGTAGCCACTCACATACATTGTAGCTCGTTATATAGAAAGCAGTCATTCACGCGCAATTCATTCACCCTGCTGATCGTAATTTTGACCAGAACCACACAACGATCAATCTGCTATCCAGTACCCCCAGAAGTACTAATTTGTAATGGGAACTTGAAGGACTTAGTGACACTGCGTGCACCAGTCACCACATGACACACGGCGATTCTTCGACCAGTGGGATTAGAACTCACAACCTCTCTGAAATGGGCCAAACGCCCTATTAACTAGGCTATCCCTGCCCTTAATATACTTTTACGTAAAAAAGTGGTTTAAACAATTTTTGAATTAAATTAGAATTACAGAACATTAGAATTACTACATTAGAATTATTTGAATTTGGTACTGATGTTTTAAAATTGTTTTTATTGAGATAATAGTATTAGATATTCATGTTCCAAACGAAACACTCTAACTATATACTTCTTTATTATAATTTTTCTAGTTCAACTTTGTCTTTGCTTCTTTCAGGAACTGAGAATTGCCTTGGGTTATGAAAGAGCAAATTTACCAAGTGAGCTTGTTCATTCATCCTTCAAACAATTCCTGGCTGATACTGTTCCGGAAAATAATGAAGTAAATCCTGAATATACCTTGAACCTAGCTAATGCAGTGCTATTAGCAAAACAGCTCAACTTAGTGCCACAATATAAAAGTGACATTCAGAAACTATATAATGCAATTGTACAGGATGTGGACTTCGTTAAAGATGCTGAAAATATTAATCAAGGAATTAATACTTGGGTAAAAGCTAAAACAAATAACAAAATTCAGAGCCTGTTTGATAAGTTAGACCCATCGGTCATCATGGTTCTTCTTAATGCAGTATATTTCAAAGGAACGTGGAAAACACAATTTCAACCAGAAAAAACAAGACCACAGAAGTTTTACAATGGTGGTTCAGAAAATGGTGCAAAGTAAGTCAATATGAAAGGTTATGAGCAATATATTAAACAAATAATCCAAAGTAACTGAAGTGATAAAGTTTTAGTTGATTAAAAACTTCATTCGCTTCAAAAATATACAAATTGTAAATAACAGTCGACATGTTTCAAGCTTTCAAAATCAGGCACCTATTTTCAAGACTTGACAGACGCGAATGGGAAAAAACAAAAGTGATTTGAAATAAAAACATAAAGTTTACTACGAAAAATGGAAAAGTGAAGGTGAGAATGCCTCTCTCGGCCTCTGCAGCTTCTCTCGTTTTATTTTTTAACTTTTTTCTCTCTCAGCTACAGCCGATTTTTTCTGGTTTTGTTTATCCTCTTCATTTTTCCATTTTTCGCGTTAGAGACTTTGCGTTTTTATTGAAAGCACTTTTGTTGCTTCTCATTCACAACTGGCAAGTCTTGAAAATTGGGGCCTGTTTTTGAGAGCTTGAAACACGTCGACTGTTATTTCCATTTCGTATACATGCAATATTTTAAAATCGACAATAAATTCATTCGAGTAGAGTTATTAATATTGCTTATTTCCATTTCAAAAATTGAAAAACGCATTTAAAAGTTTGTATTCCCTTGCTTAAAAATTAGTTGTTAATCTCTAATGAATTTCTTTTTTCTTACAAGGTTTTTGCTTACCTAATACTCTCTACATACAAAATGACAATTATTAAGCTTAAAAATCTCTTGAATTTTTTTTATAACTCTCGTTGAACAGCTGATACAATTTGGAGTTTACGACTACCAATGTTTAACTCCGTAGCCTTGCAGTTTTTAACCCTATCCAGAGGACAAGGAACTCCTGGACAATGTGTTAAGAGAAATTTGTTTTCTTGGAGGACTTTTTGATGGAACTAACCCTCATTTGTGTGACATGGGGAGAAAAACCACGAAAACTTTCCATGGATAGGCTGGTGGCAAATGGACTCTAACCCATGATTTGTCTACCACAGAGGATATTTTGCGTCAGCAATGTAGCAGATGTAAGCCTGGTGTAGAATTCTTATTATCAGCCATCGCTGGTACTTGAACCTTATTGGGAGGCGAGCGCTGTTACCCCTAAGCCAGTGTTTCCCAAATTGTGGTACGCGTACCCCCAGGGGTACGGGAACAGTTTAGCAGGGGCACGTGTTCTTATGCGAAATATCTTGCAGCAAACGAAAATTTCAAAAACTTTAATTTAAAAACAATGCTAGCCATAAAAATTTACGATCACGTATTTTCCTATTGGCCATTTTTTGCAGAGTTTACAGTTAATAATTAGTGGTGTCAACAGCCAGTTGTGATTTTTAACGTTTGTGCAATTTTTTTATAGTAAAATATGCATTCATTTTTTTATTGGTGGTACACAGCGCTACGAAAAATTTAGAAAGGGTGTACAAAAGTCATAAGTTTGGGAAACACTGCCCTAAGCCATTACGGCTCTCTTGAATATTTTAATATCTTTTGAGGCATTGGCAAGATTCTGTAAAAACTTGACTGTTGAATTGAAAAGGGAATTGAAAATGGAATTGAAATGGAATGACGGTTGAATTGAAAATGGAATTTTTTTTTAATTAATTTATTTATTTATTACATAATGCGTGCTCTTATTACAGTTGTTCAATTTTTTGAGGAATTGTCAAAATAAAGCATTTCTGAGCTTTGATGAATTGAGAATAGCTTGTTCACCCTATTTCCCTAATTCCAACCCTTCCAAGTAATTTTTTATGGGACAATATTAACAGCAAAACTTATACAAATATACTCAAAACCATCACTAAGCTCAAGAATGACATTCAGAGAGTCCTAAGTATTGATGCTCAGATAGTTTTACGAAATTTCTACGTAAGTCTGCTTCCAATCATAGCCATTATTGGCAAGTATATAAAACCTGTCATACACTAAATACAGATATCAGTAGTTACTTAAAAAATTTTCATAAAATTTTTGAATTTACTTGCTTTGAAAATGGTGTTTTTTATTTCATATAATTCAATAATTTTTACCCTGTATAAGCTATTTTTTTCCTTTCAGAGAAGTATCTATGATGAACATCAAGGCTAAATTTCCGTACACAGAGGTCGATGATTTCCAAGCTCTCGAACTACCATACAAAGGAGAAAACATTAGCATGATTGTTTTGCTGCCACGCCAACGAGACGGTCTTTCATCTATGGAAAAAAGTCTAACCCTTGAAAAGCTTGCTCTTATCCAAAGACAACTTTACCGGACCACAGTCGTTGTATCACTTCCAAAGTTTAAGATCGAATACTCAAAAGAATTGTCTCCTGATTTGTACGCCATTGGAGCTAAAAGCATGTTCAGTGCTGGAAGTGCTGATTTTTCTGGCATGACCTTAGACAAGAATGTATTTGTTAGTCAAGTTTTGCATAAAGCAGTGGTCGAAGTGAACGAAGAAGGAAGTGAAGCAGCAGCAGTTACTGGCATTGTAAGCAACAGGATGAGGCCGTTGTTTGACGTAACTCCTGAATTCATAGCAGATCATCCATTTATGTTTGCGATTGTAGACAGGAGAAGCACTATGGTATTGTTTGCTGGTCGCATCAATGATTTGTAAATACTATTGAACTTCCCTCGCTGATGGATCATCATTGCCAACACCCTAAAAATCATTTTAGGAGTCAGATAGATCACTATAAATTATTTCAAAGCACTTTGATCACTTGCCATTTTTTTTAATTAAACTAATTTCTACTAGAACTATCGCAGTTGTTTATTTATGTCTATATTTTTATCACAGAGTCTTACTGTAATATGTTTCTGTGACTGTTTAATTATATACTTTAGCAAAACCTGCATGAAACTCAATATTAATAAGCAACTAAATCTTGTTGGTGAGACTGAATAGGTAGGTAACCCACTTTCTAAGTTTATAAATTATACCGATAGACCCTCAGCTAATTTAATCCTTCATATAAAATATAGCAGCCGGTGAACAACTGACCCAATTAAGAGCTTATGACAACTTAACTCCGAAGTCTTGTAATTTTAAACCCAACCCAGAAGACATGGGAACTCCTGGATCAAGTATTGGGAGAAATTTGCCTTCATGGGGGATTTTTGATGGAATTAATCCGCATTTGCGTTACGGGGAGAGGAATACCACAAAAACATCCCACGGTTGGCCCGATGGTAAGGGAACTTGATCCGTCTACCACTAAGGATATTAACGTCAGCACTGTATTATATGCAAGCCAGGTGCGGAATTGGTATCGACCTGCCATCCCTGGGATTCGAACTCGGGTCATCTCATTAGGAGGTGAGTGCTCTATCCCCTGAAGGTCATGGGAAGTACATTTCCAACCAACTACATAAACTTTTTAATGTCGATAGAAGACTATTTTCCACTTATGATTTCAGCAGCCATCACCTGATAATTTCAGAAAATAGAAAAAAACAAATACCAATGAAAGGCTTTGTTTATTTAAAAGTGTGTAAAAGTAAACGATAGCGTGATTTCCAAAACTGAGGTCAATACCTTTAAGCTATTTTCAACCTGTGCATTATGCGTCCATCCATTTGATTATCCTCAATGTGCTTATTTGCAATTATAAACAAAGAATTTATAAACACAGATGTTCAAGTTTATCTTCAATTACATACTGTAGTTAAAATGTTGTAAATACTACTCACCTTCGCACCCAAAAAAATTGTCTAAAATATCAAATTCATTTTAGGTAATGATTTATTTTTGTAAATCAATCTTAATCCCAAAAATATTTTAACATAATAGTACTAGAAAAAACGGTCATATAAAGGGTTGATGTAATCGATCTGTTTATAAATATCTAGTACATATCAAAGTAAAACTGAAGGCGTGCACACCACCACCCGGTATGAATATTCATAGTCAGACAACAAAACACAGAATTTAAAATTTTAATTTAAAATATTCAACAAACTTCTTATTCAAAACAAGTAATTATTAAAATAGGAGGAAAGGTTGCTCTACTAAAAATACTTATACATGTATGAGGGAGATACAAACACTTGTTCAAACATTGAAAACTTTATTTCAATCAAATGTTAATTTTAAATTAATAAGTTTATTAAAATAGTCTGGGAGCCAGTGGAAGGATTCAGTCAGTACGCATCGGTGCACGAGTACCAATTCTAAAGCTTTTAGAGTACTACTTACCGGAATCTTAAATTTTTATATATTTAAAATAGATACTTAAAAGCCTACAAATTATATAGAAATTGAAATAGCAAGCGCAATCCGAAAGTGGATCTTAATCCGTCAAAATTATTTTTAAAAAAATACAAATTTGACCATTTAGTGCCCAATTTTCAAAGGGACTTCGATGCTTTTGACTTTATCAAGAAAGCAGCAATGTACAGTGCACAAAAAAACATACCAAAAAAATGGACCACCCAAAATAACTTTTGATCTAATGATGGGATCTTCACGTTCTAGGAATTTTACTGGCTCGAGGGGCACAAAAACGTATTTTATCTGAATAAACATAGTGAGATTTCCCCATTTTTTTGTAAGGTATAATGCATTAAGATTGGTTTGTGCTTATTCAACACTCATTGTCCATTTTTTCTTAAACTGTCTATATATTTGCCCCGGCCTCTGCGCTTTTATTCAGAATTGTTTTGATATTCACGCGAACCTTGTCTACTTTACGACATGATTTTTCAACTCAAGCTCAACTCTGGTAAAACTGTTGCTGCCCTTGCTACTTTGGATGGCAGTATCATGTGGAGATTGGCAGATTGCAGACGTTTGTTGAGCAAAGCCAATCCCTATACGTGGGGGTCTGGATACAGAGGCAAAGGACTGTATGTCATTTTATCTCCAATGCACCCAGCATCTGGTAGATGCAGCCCAAGAACGAACTGGATTAATTATTCTCCTTCGGTTTCTAATATAAATGGTACCCTCGGCGGGACACGGGTGCTTATGGAATGGAATTCGAAATGAATTCTGTAAGGATCACACCCCATTGAAAAATGTTTTTCCGCGAAGAAAATGTCATTACCAGAGCAACCACAAATAATACTAAAGGTGCTTGTTTTTCATGTTTGAAAAAAACAAATCATATAAGTAAATTTTGTGATACAAAAAATCATTAAAATTGTTCCCATTGTAGAAATAATCATTTTGACTCTTTGCGTTTTTATTCGATGTCAAGGTCGTGAGAAAATTATTCGATGTACAATTGACACTGGGAGCCAAAGCAGTTATGCAAGCGAAAATATTATGCGTCTGCTTAAGGCGTAGCCGCTTAGGAAGGAGACGAAACCAAAACAACACGAAGTATTTTCAATTGAAGTGGGTAGCCTGACACAGACTTCCCGTGTACGATGCTTCTGCTACTGAAAAAAGAAAACCTTCTTGAAATGAATGTTTATTAAAGGGAATTAATCTCATTGAATTATGATCATATTATTGATAGATTCAGAATGTATCCAATAGGAATAAGTGATGATATAGGAAAGGTGTTTTTAATATTAGCAATTGCACGTAAGGACAGAGACTTTCTTAAGTTTTTCTTCCCGTCTAATGATGGTCCACAGATTTATAGACACTGTAGGATGGTGTTTAGGATTTTTGCCAGCCCTTTTTTACTTAATGCTTCAATAATGCATCTTTTGGAGAATTCTTCTCCTCAGTATAGTGATGTAGCCCAAAAACTGAAAAGTTTATTCTATGTGGATAACTGTATTTCTTGTGCTCTTCATAAAGATGAACAGGAACGTTTTATTGAACATGCTAAACTTATTATGTCAAATGGATGTTTTCACTTGCGGAGTTTTGAAAGTAATATGGCAGGTAAAAATGCTGATAAACATACAGTTGATACTTCCATTTTGGGGATAATTTGTAATTTGGACAATGACACGCTAAGATGTTGTACGGATATTGACGCATTAACATGCGATTCGAAAATTACAAAAAGAAATATTTTGGGCATTGTACAGACTATTTTTGATCCCATTGGTTTGTTAACGTCAACTACATTGCTTCCGAAACTCTTACTACAAGAATTGTGGAAGTTAAAAATTGGTTGGGATGATGAATTATCTACAAATGATGTAAATACATTTTAAATGGTTTAAAGAATTATATATTTTAAAAGATGTAGTGCACACATTGTCTCTGTATATATTAATTAATGTACTTGTGGATGCTTCCGAGGAGGCCTATGCAGCGTGCGTCTTTGTGAGATCGGTATTGAATTCAGAAGTTAAAATAAGTTTAGTTCGGGCAAAATCTGGAGTAGCGCTCATGAAACCTCTAAGCATTCCTCGCTTAGAATTAATGGCCTGTTGTATCGGTTCTAAACTTGCGAAATCTATTATTAAGGCTCTCAATTCATTAAAAAAAAGGTACATTTTGAACGGATGTAACTGAACGGATGACGGATTCCACTACTACTCTTTGGTGAATAAAAGAACGGGGAAATCGGTTTGTTTTTGAAGAAAATGGGATTAAAGAAATTCGAGAGTTGACGCGGGGTCAGTTATGGAAACATGTTCCGGGAAAAATGAATATTGCCGATTTGTTATCGCGTGGGTGCTCCGAGAAGCAAATGCTTCGTTCTCGTTGGTGGAAAGTCTCTAAGGGAAAGACCTAAGAACTGGCCCACTGGAGACTAACTCTGTTCATTTGCAGAAATGGAGTTAGAAAGAAAGGAAACGAAAATAGTGAATATTGATTTTCGAAATATTTTTCCCGTTATGATAAAATGATAAAAGTAATGGCATGGGTATTAGGTTTTGTGAAAAAAACTGTAAAGGTGATCACGGAATAATAAGGAACTCTGACCTTTTGCCGTCTGAAATTGAAAATTCTGAGAAAAATTTAATTCATCTAGTTCAAAGGAATTATCTGTCTGATACTATCAAATTTTATTGAGACTGTCATAGACGATGAAGATATTGTGAGAGTAAAAACAAAAATACTTCACCGAGATTATGATAAATCCTTCTTTTACCCTATAGAAAAATTTGAAACCAGAAAAATTTATATTTTCTAAGCTACTAATTAAAAATTTACAAATCAAAAATTGTCATGCAGGAATTCAAATGAGGCAATGCTTTTTAAGAGAAAGGTTTTGGATAATTAGGACTAGGAAAGCTATTAAAAATGCCTTATTTAACTGTAGTATTTGCAAATGATTTAAGGTTAAGGCTTCGTCGAGTGAACAAACACGTCTGCCACCAGAGATCGGGCTAAGGATAGTGCACCTTTCGAAATTGTAGGAATTTATTTGGCTGGGCCTTTGTTTTTAAAAAATAGAGAAATGGTGTGGATCGCATTACTAACTTGCGGTGTGTAGCGTACCATTCACCTAGAACTAGTCAACTCAGACACTTTTCTTCCGGCACTTCGTCGGTTTATTGCCAGGTGCGGTCTACCTAGAACAATTTATAGCAACAATGGAATTAATTTTCGGGGGGGGTGGGGCATTTAATGATCTTTCTAAACTAAATTGGACAAAAATTTTAAAAGAGGCTAATAAAAGTCTTTGGAAATTAATCCCTCCAACTGCCGCTTGATTGGGCGGCTGGTGGGAGAGGCTGGTTCGTACGGTAAAGGAACTGTTAAAACGCACTGTGGGTAAATCTGTACTATCCTATGAAAAACTCTATACTTTAACTTGGGATTGTGAATCCATAATAAATTGTAGACGTTTAACTTATGTA